TTATATTATAATATATTATAATTATATTATAATTATATTATTATATTATAATATATTATATTATTTAATTATATAATTATATTATAATTATATTAATATTATATTATAATATATTATAATTATTTTTCAAATAAAGTTTGTAAATTCTTCAATGATTTTTTAGTAATATATTTTTATTAGCAAGTATTCTTTCATTTCATTATATAATATTTTACTCACCAATAGAAATATAAGTATCTGTTGATGGAAGCAAATAAAAAAAATAAGACTGATGAAAACGTTCTAATAAATTATTTAACGATCGTACTATACTTTCCACAATACGACCAACTTGATAAAAATTTCCGTCAGAACTTTGTTGACCAGGTTTCTCAAAACCTTCTAAGGTAATTGCTTCAATGCCAAATCTATTTTAATAAAATATAAGTTAATTATAAATCAAACCAATAAAATATATAATCTAGAATACTTTTCATATGTATTATGTAGATTAACGTCATTAATCATTCTTGCAACATTGTGAGCATTTTAGAAAGTGTGCTGGATAAAAAAGAATATTATACACAATAAATTGACAATGATTCTTTCATAACTTTATTATAAATACCTATGGAAAAGTCCGTGATTTCCTGTTGGAATTCCAGTAGCCTGACTTGTAATCATCATCAAAAGCGTATTAAAATGATACCACCAATTCTTAAACTTATTTTTATATTTAACATCGAAACGTCTTTGGAATGATTGTCGAATTCCTTCTTTAGCTATCATATTTTGTGCCAAGTTAAAAAGATCTAAATTAGGAAGTCGACCATTTAATCCTTCTATCTAGAAAATAGGAAAATTCTATATTATTTTAGACAGAACAATATTTTTCAGAATCATTTTTTAAAATTAGAAATATCTTTTGCTCATTTTCACAATTCAAAATTTTAATTTTGTTAGATAAGAAATCTATAACTGTAATTAAATAAATTACTGAAAGATTTTTGTATATAAATTTATATTAATACACTGTTAATATTCAAATCTTACAAAATAAAGAAGAATCTTTCACTATTTATTACTTAGTAGTTAGACTCTAAAATATTAGTTAATTAGAATTGAACGAAAATGAAAAATTAGAATATACTTTAACATCAATAGATGCAATCTTCATTGAATGTAATTCCAAGTTAATGGCAGTTTGAATGGAACCAGCACGACCAGAAAGATCTCCAGATATAAGTACACCTTCATTACCACTTGTAACTCCATGATATGCATCCAACCATGCTTGTATTCCTAACTGTTCATGTTCTGTTATTAAAAATATAATATCCTTTGCCCAATACTTCTGCTCTACAATATAAAAAAATTTTTTAATATATCATTAAAAAGATATAAATATATAAAATAAATAAACTTCCACTTATTGTTATGTTCTCTTCTATGATTTTCTATGAGTAATACGACATTTCCTATTTATTATATATAGAATAATGTTATTAAGATTATTTTTAAAATATTTAATTATATTTTACGCAAATACTTACTTCTACAAAATTTAGCAAATGCAAGAAGAAGAGCAATGGAAGGTGCAGTATCTAAATAAATACTATGAATTGGTCTAAAAGGAACGCTAACTACAATTGCTTCTGTACTAGCTGCTCTTGGAGCTCTTATAATACCATATATATTCTGGCCTGTAAACTACAAAATATAATAACGTTTATATTTTTATTAAACACTTTTTATATATTCTAAAAATTTTTCTTCCTTTAATAACAATATAAAATTCACTTAATAAATAATTTTAATAAATATTTGAAAAATTTCCTAATGAAAATAAAAGATTGGTTTTTTATTTACCTGTTGTTCTTGAAAAGGGTATATTAATGTGAAATTATGTGTAAAAACATCTAAATGAAGTTGATTTAATTTAGCAGCCAACCATGCATATGGCATCGCATCAGGATGTCGTTTCATTTCATTGATTAACTGTGTGTAATATTGCTTCGCTGTTTGTTCTAAGTTACTTTCTTTAGTAACTAATCCTGGCAATAAAGCATTCTCGGAAAAATAGGTATCTATATGTTTAAAAAGTATATTATTTAAAACTCTTATATTAGTATTATTACTAATATTAACTAGAAGTAACTGATATATTAGTTACTATATAAGGTATACATATCTGATTTTTATTTTAATTTTATGTAATAACATAATATTATGTTTATATTATGTTTAATTATTAACTTATTAATTCTACATTATACATCTTTATAGTTTAATAAATGAAATAAAGTTCAGAATTATTTTAATAAGACAATTATTTTAATTATTTTAATGTTACAAAAAGAATTGTTATATTTACATTACAAATTGTTACATATTACATTAATAAATTATGTTTTTCTTATTTTAATCAGTATTATGTATAGTTGATCCATTATACAAAATACTTTAACATCATAAAATAAATATATCATGTTGCTATTGATAATAAACTAAAACTAGTTTTCTAAATTTTATTTCATATATATATGTAAACATAATTAACAAAAATAAACAGTGCTTGTAATATTAATTACTTACTTTATCGGTATAAAACATAACCTAATTTAGGCAATTTGTCTTGTACTTACTGTCGTTGAATATGGGTAGAGCAAGAAGTAATATCCAAACAATGCCGCTTATATATAAGAAAAAACATAGTGGCCGTTCCCATTTCAATAAAAATTTTATTATTTTTCCGGATCCTGCTCTAGGATCCGTTAACAATCCCATTGTCAATCCCTATTCTATTCGTTTGTGCTATATGTATTCATGTTAAACAATCACACTTTCCTTGATAAATTCTAGCGTATTAATTGTGTTATCAAAAATTAATCATTTGATTATTTAAATGGCTGATGTTTATTAATCAGCAGTTCTCGTTGTAGTAGTAAACATCGAATATCAAGTTACCGGAACACTAGATTACAGACACTGAGGCGATTGTCACTATTAGCTTCTTATCCGCTCTTCGACAACTACTACAGCGAAGACCGTTGATTAGTAATAATTAGTATAAACAGAATTTAATGTATTGTACCAAAAGTTTCTTATTAGTCGAAAACTAATAAAATCTAAAATTTTATATTTCGAATCGAATCCTATTCTATCCTCCCCTCTTCTCAAAATTTCATGTATTAGCGATAGGGGCCATTCAAAAGAATATCATAATAATTAGATTGTGTAATTGATAATAGGGAAAATAAATTTCATATTAAACTACTTTTGAAAATGTTTAAACAATTTGACTATACTCAAAATTTTAAAATATTTGAAATCTTGCTCAAAATAATATTCACATGATATATAGAATATATAGAATATACATTTATTATATGAATGTGGAATGTAATAAATACATTTTAGTACCTTATAATTAGTATTTACAGTATTAAGGTAAATAATAAAATAAATCCAAATATTTTCAATACAATAAGAGAAACTAAAATGTATACACAGGGTGTTCGCGGATTTACCAGTCAGCGCTTTTTCCGTAAGTATGAGAAAAAAGTGAAAGAGGAAAAAGTAATACCAATTTTTGTAAGCAACACGATGATATCATTATATTGTTTACGAAGCTACTATTTTTTTTTCTTTCATTTTTTTTATACTTACTTTTATACTTACAGTTTATGGGAAAAAGGCTGACCAATAAATTCGTAAATATCCTGTACATAAAATACATTATATATACACATGTATATTTTTTTTATATATATCTATTACAACTATGTCATTCTTCAAATACTAATTTTTGGTATCATTTGTATTATAGAAAAAAATTTAACTAAGACATAAAATTCCATTAAAAATAATAGAAATATATAATACTGAAAAATGTTTAATATATATATATATATATATATATATAT